CTCTCAAATAATTGAGAGCAGATAAAAATTCCATATTCCAGGATCGTTTTTTATAATTAGTTGAAGAGGAGGCATATCATAACTAGAAATTATGCCAACTTTTCAAGCTTGGGATAGGTTATCTTAAAGGTATCCTCCTATATGAGCTACTCTGAACTTTATAGATTAGGCAAGTTGGACTCACAAGAGCGCCTTGAGTGTTACCGTACCCAGACTTTAGAACTACAATCTGACTTCTAGTTACATTTATGAGAAGTTTTATAAGTTTTATGAGAAGATATTTTAGCTGTGGGGTTTTATAAAATGAAGTTTCTGGTGCATTTTCTATTCCATTTCAATCTTGTCTGTCCTTGCATGTCATAGTTGCTGCTTTAAATGATCCCAATATGGAATTAATTCAAATTCTGATGCCTATCAGGAGTTTTCAGTACTAGATGAAAAGCACACAACAAAGGAACTAGGCTGATCTCTCTGGGAACAGCATTCCACAACTAACTGCTATGACTGCAAAAAGGTTCCACTGGGGCTGGGGAAATTATCAGCAGGACTTTCATTGTTGAACTGAGTGATGGTTAGCTGAATAAGGGTTTCTTTTTCCTGCATTCTACTCACTCCCCTGTTCAGTGACATCACAATTTATGACAACTGTTCACATTTATCCTCTAGAAGAATTGGTCAAGTATACCAATAATGCTGTGCAATGGTAAATCAGTGCAAGAAATCCATAGCTTTGAAATTGATTTTTACTCCTTTTATGTGCAATTTTTAACTCCTTGCCCCAACATATCTTAACAGGCTAACTGAAGTTCCTCCTTCCCAATATAAAGGCTGAGTACAGAAGGAAATTTAGACATGGAGGATACAGGTAGTATTTAACATATGAACATAAGCAGAGCTCTGGTGAATTGGACCACTAGCCCCTCTAGTCCAGACATGTGTTCTGACAGTGGCCAACCAACTGCACAAGGAAGCCCACTAGTCTCCCAGCAGATGGTTTTCAAAGGCAGTCATACTGCCAACAAGGTTAATAGCCAGTGATTCCCATGACTTCCATGAATTGGTCCAACTCTTTTTTTGAAGCCAAGCAAGCTGGAAAGCCAGTACCACATCTCTTCACCAGCATTTTATAGTACATAGTTCTCAGAGGACTATGCAACATGATCTTCTCGGCATGTGGTCCAGCCTTAGTACTGCTTTGGTGTGGCAAAAACACAGCAACTGGGTTTTACACAGCTCATTCTGAACGAAACCAAAGATAATCTTCCAGGAGTTACAAAAGCCAGCAGTTAGTCCTTGTTTCGCAACCACAATTGGGACCAGCAACTCAGTTGTTAAATGAAGAGGTTGCTAAGTGAAACCATGACTGTGCTTATGATCTTACTTCAGCTTTTCTTTGCTTTACAGACCTATGAAAGTCATAAATGAGAGGACTGATTGTAAAGCTTTTACTTTTTCATCACCATCGTAATTGTGAATGTCACTAAATGAGGCAGTCGCTAAAGAGGACTACCTGTACTATTATATAGATAGAACTGTGTTCATGTCTGCAGTAGAAAACATATTTGTTTCTTACATTTCTACAAGTTCCCCAACTACTTTTTAAAAGTAAATGTCAGCATAATGGTACAGATTATTACACACTGCCCTCTAGCACTCCAGTGACTGACACTGAAAATCAAAGGGGAAAATGGGATATCTTCTGTCCAGCAGACATATGCTTCAAAGTTTAGCTAATCCAAGCTGCCCATGCTTAGCAAAAGGAGGGGGGGTAGGGGAATGCCAACAAACCAGATAAACTATCACAATCCAAATACAATTTTGATTCCTGCGCTTTTGATGCCACACTATTTATTATTTTGCTATAAGATTTGTACTTTCACCTTTCTACCATAGAAAGCTGTTCAGGCTTACTGAAGTGGCAGAACAGGAACTGTTTTCTGGGATTCCTCCTAATAACTAGTACGTAGGAACACAGAAAGTTAT